ATAAAAATACATAAATGAATAAATACAATAGAAAAGACATAATGTCTTAACAATATATTTTGACATATTTCCATGTCAGTATGTAGTATCTCATCCTCTTTAAGGGCTACACAGTATTCTACACTATGACTACGGTAAAGTATATATGTAATAATTTCATCATTTCTGAGTTAATTTAAATCATTTTAAATTTATTGCCATCATCAACAGGGCTGCAGTGAGCATCCTTTTACATATATCTTTGCTCACAAATGCAAGTATTTCCTTAGGATAAATTCCTAAAATGGAATGGGTGTCAGAGGATATATACACTTTAAATTTTGATAGTTAAAATGTCAAATTGCCCTTAAAACCATACAAGAGTACTCTCATGAAATAATAAGTGAAATGTCTGGTACCATTAGGTACTAAGGAAGGAGACTTTCCTTAGTGGAGGTAGGGGAGAAAAGTCTCCCTGGCAGAGATAATAACAGGAGAGCAGTGAGACAGGAATGTATGTAGCATGTTTATGGTATTAGAATAAGGATTTCTGTGGATTACCATGAAACCCTCATAAGAATACACAGGATGGAAGCTTAAAAGGGCATGGCTGTTGGATAATATGTTGCCGAGTCCCTGGTGTGACATAAACCATGTGGGGCAAATTGGAAGAGCTTTCTAAAAGAGCTGAGTTTAAAGATGAACCCAAAGGAGAGAGGGCACTCCTGCAAAGGTTCTGAGAAGTAAACTGATGATTCCATGCCCTGGAGTGTCTCTGAGTGTATGAAGGACCAATGGGAGGGTAGCCTCCAGGGGTAAAGGAGCAAAGTGTCGATGGCACTACAGAGAGCAGGTGCTGATCCTTTCCAGGAAGGCCTGCGGCAGTGGCAGGAGGAGCAGGAGAGGAGGGTGCGGGCCCTTTCGGAGATGGCATCTGAACAGCTGAAGCGGTTTGATGAACGGAAGGAACTGAAACAGCATAAAGAATTCCAGGACCTGCGGGAGGTGATGGAGAAGAGGTGAGTCTCCCTGAATTGTGATTGGGAATGTCAGTGTGGTCAACTGGAACTCTTTCCCAAGAGGAATCCCAAGGGGAAAAAGTTGAACTTCTTCTGAGTCCTTAAATATGAAAATAAAATAGGCAGAGAGGCTTATAACCTGAAAAAATGACCAACCTTTGAAAGATGACCAAAGTAACACAAAGAGGGAGGCTTTTGGGAGAGGTAACACAGCTTTAGGAAGCATCCCTCACTGTTCCTCCCTGCCATTTTTCATTCAGCTCCAGAGAAGCCTTGGGGCACCAGGAGAAGCTAAAAGCGGAGCATCGTCACCGAGCAAAGGTCAGAGCCTGGGAGAATCGGCATGGGGATTTGGTGTCTGTAACCTGCCTGAAGAGTCAGGTTCTGGCGGACCATCACCGTGGAGCACCTGGCCCCCACCCTGCCTCTGTGTAACTGACCTTGGGAAGTCCTTTTCCTGCTCAGAGCCCATCTGTGACAATAGGTAGCCCAGCTAGGACTTGAGGATTGTAGAAAGAGAAAGCCCAGGAGTCCTTAGGGAGAGGTGACCCCAATGCACTTTTTGTAGATTCTCAACCTGAAGCTGCGGGAGGCCGAGCAGCAGCGCCTGAAGCAAGAGGAGCAGGAGCGGCTTCGGCGGGAAGAAGGCCAGGGCCGCCTGCGCAGCCTCTACGCCCTGCAGGAGGAAGTGCTGCAGCTCAGCCAGCAGCTGGACTCCGCTGAGCAGCACAGGGACCTACTGCAGATCGACCTGGCAGCCTCCCGCACCCGAGGCAACCAGCTGTGCAGCCTCATCTCGGGGATCATTCGGGCCACTTCAGAGGTGAGGGGGACTTCTGAGTGACTCTGTTTTCTGTTTTTGAAGTGGAGAACCTCAAGAGCAAAATTGTTTTCTGATTTAAAAGTAGTGCCTGCCCCCTCTCCCACAAATAATGAAAGCCCAGTAAAGCCTGAGGAGGAAGGAAAAGGAAAAAAAAAAGTAATGCCTGCTTGTGGGAGGAAATACCAAACATTACTTGTTATCGCCGTACCTAGAGGTAACCACTGTTACCATTTTAGCATGTTTCTTTTCTTACAGGGTATTGGTGGAGGGGTATCTGTGTCTGTATGTGTTATTTCCATCCTAAATTGGACTCATGTAGATATAGCATTTTATATCTTAGGTTAAGAAAATACCTACTTCTTATGATTGCAAAATACTTTTTATTTTATTTTTGTTAGAGGTGAGAGTCTTACTTTGTTGCCCAGGATAGGGTGCAGTGGCACGATCCTAGCTCACTGCAGCCTCAAACTCCTGGGCTCAAGCTATCCTCCTGCCTCAGCCTCCTGAGTAGCTGGGACTACAGATGTGTGCTACAATGCCGGCTGATTTATCTATTTGTAGTAGAGATGGGGTCTTGCTCTTTCTCAAGCTGGTCTCAAACTCCTGAGCTCAAGTGATCCTCCCACCTTGGCCTCCCAGGGTGCTAGGATTACAGGCATCAGCCACTGCACCCACCCCAACATTGTATTTGAACATGTAATTACTATAATCATTAAAGACATTTTCATGTTTTTAAGACAGTGTTAATAGCTGTAAGTACTAGGCCAGGTACGGTGGCTCACGCCTGTAATCCTAGCACCCTGGGAGGCCAAGGTTGGAGGATCACTTGAGGTCAGGAGTTCAAGACCAGCCTCAGCAAGAGCGAGACCCGTCTCTACTAAAAATAAAAAGAAATTAGCCGGCCAACTAATAATAGAAAAAATTAGCCGGGTGTGGTGGCACATACCTGTAGTCCCAGCTACTCAGGCGGCAAAGGCAGGAGGCCCTTGAGCCCAGGAGTTTGAGGCGGCTGTGAGCTAGGCTGACACCATGGCATTCTAGCCTGGGTAACAGAGCGAGACTGTCTCAAAAAAAAAAAAAAATAGCTGTAAGTACTGTATGGCCTTGACATCTAGTAGGCATTCATTAAATATTTGATGAACAGGATAAAAGAATTTTAAGGTTCTTGGTTCACATCCAAAAGCTGTACCAATTCACCCTTTATTAGCAGTGTCTGTTGCCATTTACACTGTATACTTGAGAGTACTGGATATTGTAAATTCCTATTGTCTTTGCTCATTCAGTAATTTTTTTGTTTTAATTTGCACTTCTTGAATTTTATGTCTTCTAGCCTTTTATGTTTATTTTATGGATTGTATGTTCTTGTTCTTAGTTTCTGTTTCTGTTGGAGATTACATGTTTTTAAAATTTTCAGCTGGACTCGGTGGCACTTGCCCGTAGTCTCAGCTACTCAGGACGCTGAGGCAGGAGGATCACTTTAGCCCAGGAGTTCAAAGTTACAGTGAGCTATGATCATGCCACTGCGCTCCAGCCTGGGCAATAGAACAAGACCCTGTCTCTTAAAAAAAAAATTACTATTTCATTTCACTTGAATTAATTCTCTTGTTAAGCTACCAACTTGATAAATGGTAGGGTTCATTTGTTTTATTTTCCTTTTGATTTTTAAGAATTTTTTCAACTAGATTCAATTTTGTTTTATAATTATATAAAACATTTACATGGTTCTAAAGTCAGAACTACAAAACAACGTATAGTTAGAGAAGTCTAGCTTCCTTCTCTTTTGTCTCCATTGTATTCTTGTCCTTTCTGCAAGGGACTGTTTCTATTAGCTTTTGGGTCTTGTGTCCGTTCTTTAAAAACAAAAGCAAATATGTAGTGGGGGTGGGGGGAGTATATATATCTCCTGAGATAAAAGGTAGCTCAGTATATGTACTGTTCTGTGCCTTGCTTTGTTGTACTTGGCAGTATAACCTGGAGATCACTGCTTAGCAACGTGTAGGTTTTCTTTATTTCTTTATGTAACTGCATGACGTACATAGTACAACTATGGTTTCTGACATTTCTGATGCAAAGAAGTTATGGGTTTTTGTCCCTCATTTAATCCATCTGAAATTTATTTGATGTTTGATGGGGGATAAAGATCTTTATTAAAAAATGTTTATACCGTTTTACTACCACCTGTCCTTCCTGATTTGTATGTACCTTTTATCACACTAAATACTATCCTAGAAGCTCATTCTCTGTACACTTTCACTTCCTTGATTGTGTTTTTATTTATTTTTTAATTAGCACTATGGGAAGGGTAATTGTGTTTTTATTCTTATACCAGGATGAGTCCAATTTTAATTAATGGAGTTTAATCATTTTAATATTTAAAGGAAAAAGCTAATCATGAGCTATTAATAATAGGTAGTTCCCCAAAGTAGTTTTATTTTTTTTTTTAAGATAGGGTCTTGCTCTGTTGCCTGGACTAGAGTTCAGGGATGTCATCGTAGCTCACTGCATAACTCAAACTTCTGGGTTCAAGTGATCCTCCTGCCTCAGCCTCCTAAGTAGCTGGGACTACAAATGTGTGCCACCATGCCCAGCTAATTTTTCTATTAATACTTTTTTGTAGCAATGAGATCTCACTACATTGCTCAGTCTGGTCTCAAACTCTTGGCCTCCCAATGAGATTTCTTTTTCTTTATTCTTCCACTACCTTGGAAAAGTTGGTTTAAAATGTAGTACCTCAGTGATTTAATAGACAAAGCTGTCAAACATGTTTATAGGAGAGAGCATAGAAAATGATGCAGAGCTTCTCTGTTCATTTTGTAATCCTGGTAATCAAATTCTGACAAAATAGCATGCTAAAAGAAGTTTGCATGTCAGTCTTACTTATATGCAATCTCATTTATGAGCAGAAGTTCTAAATAAAAAATTAGAAAAACAAATTTATCAATACCTTAAAAGAATAATGCACTATAACCAAAGGGGTGTTATTGTAAGAATAGTGCAAAGCTGGCTCAAGTGTTAGGAAATGTATTCATGAAATTCATTTCACTAATAGGTTAAGGGATCAAAATCATAAGTTTATCTCATCCGATGTTATAAAAACATATGCTAGAATTCCACAGCCCTGATATAAAAAGAAAAAACTTATAGTAAACTAAGAATAACAGCGTATTCTTCATTAACATGATAAAAATATGTATCTCCCTAAGACTACAGTTCAGATATGTCATGAAAATTGGGAAAGAAAAATATATCACGTTGCTGCTGTTCAATGTTTTCATAGAAGTTTTATCCAATACAAGTCAATAAAAGCAAATGAAGTCTAAATATTTAAACGAAGAAATGTAATTACTGTTATTCAATGACAATACAATTATTTACCTCAAAAGCTAAGAGAAAAAGCTGGAAACTATTATATTTTTTAATTAGACTGTTAATGAGTTTTTTTAATAATGTGACCAAAATTCGAAATATTCTAGCAAAAAATGCTACAAATAGGCCGGGCGTGGTGGCTCACGCCTGTAATCCTAGCACTCTGGGAGGCTGAGGCAGAAGGATCACTTGAGCCCAGGAGTTTGAGGTTGCTGTGAGCTAGGCTGACGCCACGGCACTCACTCTAGCCCGAGCAAAAGAGTGAGACTCTGTCTCAAAAAAAAAAAAAATGCTACAAATATAACGAAATATAGAATGCCTAGAAATAAACTAGCACAAAATAGATGTGGTTTACATAACAAAAAATACAAAGCTTTGTTGGATTTATAAATGAGACTTAAATAATTGGAAATGGCTCAAACCTCTCAGGCTAAAAACAAAGAACAAACCAACTAACCAACTAAATAAATAAATAATTGGAAGAATTTACCATGTTTCTGAAACCTCAATAAAGTAAGATGTCAAATTTGCCCAAATCAATAAATTTAATAAAATTTTAATAAAAATGTGTTGGACCATTTCAAAAAGGACTAGTGATGGGGGACTTGTATCATCAACTATAAAAAACATTTCTGAACACTACAGTTAAAGCAATTTGTTTTTGCATAGAAACACAGAAAGGGCCGGGCGCATTGGCTCACGCCTGTAATCCTAGCACTCTAGGAGGCCAAGGTGGGAGGATTGCTTGAACTCAGGAGTTCGAGACCAGCTCTGAGTAGGAGCGAGACCCCATCTCTACTAAAAAAAATAGAAAAAATTAGCAAGTCAACTAAAAATAGAAATAAAAATTAGCCAGGTGTGGTGGCTTGCACCTGTAGTCCCAGCTACTCGGGAGGCTGAGGCAGGAGGATCGCTTGAGCCCAGGAGTTTGAGGTTGCCGTGAGCTAAGCTGACACCATGGCACTCACTCTAGCCTGGGTAATAAAAGCGAGACTCTGTCTCAAAAAAAAAAAAAAAAAAAGAGACAGAAAGATTAGTGACACTGAATAGCAAACACAGAAGAGACAAATTTTTTGTAGGTAATTCATGTATGATAAAGGTATCATTTCAGATCAGTGGGGAATAGATGGATTACTTAGAAAGAGAACTAACAATAAAAATAAAGATGACATTTGTACCACACTGTCACTTCTTCTATATTTCTTGGATATTTAAATGTAAAAAGACACAAGAGATCATTAAGTTCAGTGGAAAAAAATAAGTAAATATTTGCATTATATGAAGGTATGGCAGCCCTGTGTTGGCATAGCAATAACAGCAGAAGTCATAAAGGAAAAGATGGGTAGATATGAGTACATACAGGTTAAAGGCACATTACAAATTAGATACCGTATTTGTAACATATACAGCAGACCAAATTTTAATGTCCTTCATACAAATAGAGCTTTTGTAATTTATGGGAAAAAAGATAAATGAAGGGCAATGTGGGAGGATTGCTTGAGTTCAGGAGTTCAAGACCAGCCTGAGCAAGAGCAAGACCCATCTCTACAAAAAATAGAAAAATTAGCCAGGCGTCATGGCATACACCTGTAGTCCCAGCTACTCAGGAGGCTGAAGCAGGAGGATCACTTGAGCCCAGGCGTTTTGAGGTTGCAGTGAGCTATGATAATGCCACTGCATTCTAGCCCGGGTGGCAGAATGAGACCCTGTCTCAAAAAGAAAAGAAAAAAGATAAACGAATCACTCCTACTTTCCCCCTCCATTCCACTAATGGAAAAAATGAGCAGAGGACAGGACAAGCCCCTTAAAAGAGCAGAAATGAAATATAATTATCCAATAAATATGAAAATAGGTTCAAAATCACCATTAGTGTATGCAGTGCAAATTAAAACAGTATCATTTTCATCTAGCATATTGTCACAAACTTTAAAAAATTACTCTGGCCATTGGTGAGGGCATAAACAAATTTATACTTAGGAACTATGAATGTGGTAGTAAATCGGTACTACCTTTGAGAGAACGGGAGAGCAGTATCAACATGTTGAATGCGGGTACTCCTTTGTTGCAACATTCCAATTCTAGACATTTATGGACTTGTGTGAGGTATGATTTAGCCCTACAGGGGTACCTCTGGTATGACCACTAAGCACCATCTCTGTCACTCCGACAGAGTGGCTATCCTACAGCAGAGAACCAAGCTGAGGCTGAGCGAGCTCTGCAGGAAATGCGGGACCTTCTTAAAAACTTGGGGCAGGAGATCACCAGAGCCTGTGAAGACAAGAAGCGGCAGGATGAAAAGGAGGCCCAGGTAAAGCTGCAAGAGTCACAGATGCAGCAGGGACCGGAGGCTCACAAAGAGTCCCCAGCTCCCAGCCAGGGCCCAGGAGGGAAACAGAATGAAGGTAGGTTTTGGTGTGGATATGGTCCTTTAACTGGGCGTAAGTTTCCGAATGTGAAAAGAAACGAGAGTGTGTTCTGAATATTGTGTTAAGCTATAGGACAGTTAGCCGGAACTCTTCATTTTTGATTGATGTGGAGCCTGATTTCAGATTCTAACACTTTGCAGGAGGATGTGAAAGTCTACATAATTGTAGTAGATATATTATTACAAGTATTGCTGCTACTGAGCATTTTAAATAAATATATACAGATAGATGTTTGTTTAATATTACGTACATATTTTAATACATATGAAAATCATAGCAAAGTGTTTGAGAATGCTGGCCCTGGAGCCAGATCAGTGGGAATCTAGTTTTTCTGATTAATAGCAATGTGACCGTAGCAAATGACTTAATTTTCCGTGCCTTTTTGCTTATGTATAAAATGGAGATAATAATAGTATCTACTTCATAGTTATTATGACAATTAAAGCAGTTAATACGTAAATAAAGTGATTAGAAGAGTACCTGGCTCATATTACATGTTCAGTAAATACTAGCTATTATTAAAGCCTCTCTTTTATTTCTCAGACCTCCAGGTGAAGGTACAAGACAGTACAATGCAGTGGTACCAGCAGCTGCAGGATGCTGCCACACAGTGTGTGTTGGCCTTTGAGGGCCTCACCAACAGCAAAGACAGTCAGGTATGGGCAGGGTGGATGGTGGGAATTCTCTGGGCCTGATGGTGCTCAGAGAATGACAGCCTCATGGCCCACACAACATCTACTGAGCTCTTCAAAACACTGTCTACCTTCTCACTCTTCTTCTCTGGCAGGCCAAGAAGATAAAGATGGACCTCCAGAAGGCTGCCACCATCCCAGTGAGCCAAATCTCCACCATCGCAGGTTGGTCAGAGGAGTTAAGAATGTGGACTTTAACTTCACTGTATTATTCGACTCCAAATCTATTTATCTGTACAGTTCTCTAAGCGGTTCCTATGTAAGGTTCCTATAAAAAGAGTATGCTCAAATAAATGTTGACGTTGGATCACGTATATGTAAGTTATATATATCCTATTTTTCTCACCTGTTTCCTCTTCAACACATAGAAAGTAATCATCATATGTTCGTTGACTCATTAATGGCAAATTATTGAGGATGGCTCTTAACTGAGAGTATCACTAAGGGAACCTAGGCAGTGACTTGCAAACTTTGCTTTTGTCCTACTACATTAGCTTTTCCAAACTCTAATCTTGCCTTGTTAATACTTAAGGACTTGTTCTTTTCTCAACAGAGACTGAGATTTGGACAGTGAGACCTAGGCAGGGAAAAGACCCTTCTTTACGACCAGAGGTTCATTTCTTTTTTTTTTTTTTTTTTTTTTGAGACAGAGTCTTACTCTGTTGCCCGGGCTAGAGTGCCGTGGCGTCAGCCTAGCTCACTGCAACCTCAAACTCCTGGGCTCAAGCGATCCTCCTGCCTCAGCCTCCCAAGTAGCTGGGACTACAGCTAATTTTTTCTATTTTTAGTTGTCTGGCTAATTTCTTTCTATTTTTGGTAGAGACAGAGTCTTGCTCTTGCTGAGGCCGGTCTTGAACTCCTGACCTCAAGCGGTCCTCCTGCCTCAGCCTCCCAGAGTGCTAGGATTACAGGCGTGAGCCTCCACACCTGGCCAGAGGTTCATTTCTGTAGAGCTCCAGATGTGGAAGCCTCCAAATTACAGACTGAGCTGCCAAGTGGCTGGGGAGTGTGTACAACTGGGAAGCTCCTCTGACTCATCATGGGTCCCATTCTCCAGGTTCACTTGTCGTTGCCTAAATGTTGCAGTTCCTGCCCTTAAGAGGCAATATGACAAAACTTACATAGCACTTTGCTGCCTGAATTTCTTTCTGGAGCAGGGCAAGGTATAAATAAATAAACATATGTCACTTTGTGGAACTGAAAGTGCCATGTCCTTCGATAGCAACAGCAAGGGGAAGAGGTGGACTGGACAGCCACCCTACGCGTCACTGGTCTCCAGCTTACCCTCAGCCCTTTCCCTTGGTTGACTGCAGCTTCGCTTCCTCCTTCGTCAGAAAATGGGATTCCCAGCGTGGGCTCCTGGATGCTGCCCCTTCCACTGCACCACAGCTGCGTTGCCTCAGTCCCCGTGTCCTGGGACAAGGCATCCTTCCTGCTGGGCTTACCCTTCACCTCTGCCCTGCCCCTGCCCACTCGAGGCTCCTGCCCAGCTTTGTCTCAATGTCTGGCACCTTTCTTTCCTGTTTTCCGAGATTACTCCCTTTTACAGACTCCTTTCCCTCGGCCTTTAAAGATGCTTCGGTCACACCCTAACGGAGGTTTCCCTCGGTCCTCTGTCTTCTCAGCGTTTTCTCATCTTCCTCACGTTTCCACTTGGCACTGTTGACGAGCCCCTCCTCTGGGAAACTACTCCTTTGGCTTCCATGGCATCGTTACTGTCCGGGTTCTCCTCCTGCCTCTCTTTCTCTCTCTCCATTGTGCATTCCTCAGTTTCCTACCTGCCCCCCCGGAGGTGATTCCTAGGGATCTGCTCTTCCCCTCAGTTCTCGTTTGTGTCCTCCATGGCTTCAGACATCGCCTGTGACTCCTGAATGTCTCTCTGGGTCATTCCTTTCCTCTGAGCTTCAGATTCTGCAGCTCCAGCAACCTGAGGGGCATCTCTGCTTTGTCTCTCAGCTACCTTAAGTTTAGTATGTTCAAATCTGAACCCATCATCTTCCTTCGGCCTCTTTTTTCTCCTGTTTTTCCCATAAGTAATTAGTAACACCATTATCTCCTCAGTCACTTTAGCTGGAAACCTGGGAGTCATCTTCCTCACTGCTTCCTCTTTTTCATTCTCTACATCTGATTAGTGTCTAGTTTTGCTGTTTTTCTTTTTTCTACATCTTCCTTGACATTGTCCCTACATCTCCATCATGACTGGGAGCCCTTTAAGAGCTTGTAATCCAGCCAGAAGCAGCTCCAGAGTTAGTGCTCAGTAAATGCTGAATGAATGAGAGAGAAAGATGACCTAACTCCTGTCTTTTTAAGAAAGGTGGCTATCCATGAGCAGTGAGATTTGGAGAAAAATTTCAATAACAATGTGGTGCCGATGTGGTGTGTAGGAGGCCACAGCAGGCACAGTGTTAGGAGCTAACTAGAGAGGTGTAGAGAGGGGCTGGGTGACCTACAGCCATACCACCCTGAACGCGCCCAATCTCGTCTGATCTCGGAAGCTAAGCAGGGTCAGGCCTGGTTAGTACTTGGAAGAGGGGCTGGGTGGAGGACTCAGCCAGTGGGGTCCTTTGAAACTGTCAGTAAAGTAGCAGTAGAGTGTGACTTAGCAGGAATATGAGCGGAGTAAATTTGTATGGAAATGTACATAGTTGAACATCTCAGTAAGTTTGGGGGTTATTAGGCCTGTGCTTTCTATGGTGTCTCATTACTTGATTCTTGGTTCCCTCCTGCTTTTCTTCCTGAAAAATGTGGTTGGCTTTTTTTTTCTCCCTAACAGAATCACTGTTAGGAAGGATATTTCTGAGACTTTTGTGACATTTCTTGAAATGATTAGGAACTTGGTAGGTTATTTTTCAATTGGAGATGCTGTGTTAATTAAAATTTTGATTTTAGGTAATAGAAAGTAATTCAGATCTACTTAAGCAAAAAACAAAAAGCACAAACACATACACACACACACACAAACACAAAGGAATTAATCCTAAAGATAAAGGAGTATTTCACAGAGCCCAGTGGCAGAAATGGGGCGAGGACTTGGGAGCTAGAAACTTTAGTTCTCTTTTCCTCTCTCATCTCATCTTCCCTCTGTACATCTCCATCCTTATTTTGTGGATTGCTGTTCTTTGGTCCACATGGCAGTCACAAGCGACCACTGTTCTTAACTGTGTTGCAGGGCCGGCCTCTTCAAGGATTGACTCTTACTGGACTGATTGGCTTAGCTTGGCTACCTCTAATCTAATAGCAGCTGGTGTGGGGTGTGGCACACAGCATCTTTCATATAGCTATAACTGTTAGGAACCCACTTCTGTGTCCCTGGGGACAGAGGAGGGCAGGTCCCAGAGAAGGAGGGAAAATCGTAGGGTTGGAATATCCTTTAGAAGGTTTTTCCTAGAGATGCAACTGGCTTCTCTAGGGATATCAGCCACAGCCCGTGGGATCTGTAACACAATTTAAGAGCTCTTTCTATACTGTTTATGTCTTTGTTTTATTGTCAGTGTCAGAATTAGTTCATTTCCAAATAAGGAATTCCTCTGGAATAGTACCATGGCTTGCATACTTTGGCATCCCCTACAACACGTGTGTGTTTGATTATCGTTTATTCTTCTGCATCAGTGTTTTAGCTTTTAGGCTCGGAACTTCTTCAGGGCTGCAGAGCTGGATTGCTATAGGTGCTTTGTTATTATAATGATGAGAAAGAGATTGATCTGCTGTTGTATCTTTTAATTAACTTTCTGTCTGTCACGCCTAGGTTCAAAGCTGAAGGAGATATTTGACAAGATCCACAGCCTCCTCTCAGGAAAACCCGTTCAATCTGGTGGGCGCGCTGTATGTGTCACACTGACCCCACAGGGGCTGGACTTCGTCCAGTACAAACTGGCAGAGAAATTTGTGGTGAGATACCTTGTTACCGGAGGTATGGGAAGAAGAGGCTGGTACACAAGATTTCAGCCTTTCTCGGGAGTTAATTTAAAATTGTACCCATCTCTGTGTTCCCAGAAACAAGGCGAGGAGGAGGTGGCCTCTCATCACGAAGCAGCGTTCCCCATTGCGGTTGTGGCGTCTGGGATCTGGGAGCTCCACCCCAGAGTTGGGGACCTCATTCTTGCTCATCTGCACAGGAAATGTCCTTACTCTGTTCCTTTCTATCCAGCTTTCAAGGAGGGAATGGCTTTGGAAGACTATCAGAGGTAAAGTTGTTTTTCTCCTTACTCACTGTCCATTGGGTGATGAACGAAATATAAATAGAACTGAAATTTGTTTTCCCTCTTTCTCACAGCTCCTCTTATGTATCTTGGATGTTCCATCAGAAATATAATGTCTTTCATGCAAACTGGACAGCCTTTGGGACTTGTGGGTTTAGGCACCAATAATCAACATAGTTTAGTGGAAGGAACATCAGATCTAGAATCCAGGGGTCTTAGAAGTTTATCCCTACTCTTTGTCAAATAGCTTTGCAAAAATGTGTAAATCATTTAACCTCTTTGAGCATCATTTTCCTTATTTGTAAATGGGGGTAATGATATCCATTAACTCCTGAGAGTTTGCCTCACTGGGCTTATAAGAAGCACATGTTTGGGCCGGGCGCGGTGGCTCACGCCTGTAATCCTAGCACTCTGGGAGGCCGAGGCGGGCGGATTGTTTGAGCTCTGGAGTTCGAGACCAGCCTGAGCAAGAGCGAGACCCCATCTCTACTAAAAAATTAGAAAGAAATTAATCGGACAACTAAAAATATATAGAAAAAATTAGCCGGGCATGGTGGCGCATGCCTGTAGTCCCAGCT